AAAACATATCAAAAAGGTTAATTAATTAATAAATTATTCTGTTAATTAATACGTCGCTTATATATGGTATTGTTAGCGAATGTGATAGACATATGTTGTTTAACACAAAAATGCTCAATGGAATCATTTCAACTCCTTCAAGGTCTTCTCATTATCACCATTTCTATTTCTCGAGGTTTAGGAAAAACTTTCGTGACTTTCAATTATTTTCAAAGCAGAACACGCTGAAAGAGTAACAGAAGAGATTGATGATATTGAGATAAATTATTTTATGATTTATCTTGGATGTTATTTTAAAGAAAGTTATTTTGGCTCTTTATTTAATTATCAGTGTTATAAGGACAGTATATAAACAATTATTAGAGATTTGAATTTTTAACTTTGACTAAGTTTATATTCTGTGTCCATTCAGCAAATATTTTCATTAAATCTTTTCTTACACGAAAAAAAATGTTCTAGAAAAAATTACAGCAAAATTTTTGTAACCTTAGGACATACAGAATTATGATTAAAATAACTTTATATGTTTATTTAAGAATGCATTAACTTTTTACTAAAAGATTATTGTAATTATTTAAATGTTTTTATATCGTACACTAGGTAGATTGCCAAATTTATTATTTCTATAATAATTTATACTATAATTTCAGTATTGATCCAGTTTTACAATTGCAGGAGAAATATAATTTTGACGTAATTTTCTCCGTGTACTAATTACAGAGGACGAGTAAGTAATAATTATGATACATCTTACTGTAAGAAATTACAGGTAGAAAAATTATGAAAATTGTCACAATTCGTTTACAATATATAAAATGTCTGTATTTTCTAAATTATGTTCTTAGCATGTTCTTAGCATGTAGAAGTCTTCATCGACACAAGTAATAAGAAACAGGAAGAGTTTTAAAATAGTAAAATATATTGCACACGGAAAAATTAGTATGGTTAGCTCATTCATAAATCTGGTTATGCTAACTAGATTTATATGCAAATTAACCATACTTTCTTTGTTTCTTCCGTGCAAGGATTCAAAGTGACCTTTTCAGATATTCAGAAGGAAGTTATAGTTCTCACGCATTCTAGTGTTCAGATTGTATTTTTCTCGGATAATTTAATATTCATGTTAAGAGATCGGTATTTTTATAACACATATTTTAGAACTTAGTTAAAATCGAGAATCTTAGTACCAAAATATTGAAACTGTTATTTGTATATATATATATATATATATATATATATATATATATATATATATATATATATATATATATATACACACACACAT